ACGGGGATACAAATGTTCATGCATCTGAGACCATGAATTGTTGAACTGCGATGATTATTATTGGACTAGTCCATTTATGTAGTAAACAACCGCGGATTCGGGAAAAAAAATCTTTAGTGTTGCTTGTCCACATACTGATATATACGATATATGTTACTTAAACTATTAAAAGAATGAGATAAAATTTGTAGATAGAATTTCTGAAGTATTAGAAGGAGGTTAAAAGGACAAACTTTATTTAATTCCCGTACTACGGAAGCCCGTTGGTGCCATGTACGAAAAATATTTTATCTGGCGGCCGCCACTTATTATATGGCGGCCGCCAGATAATTATGTGGCGGCAGCCACTTATTATTTGGCGGCCGCCAGATTATTATGTGGCGGCAGCCACTTATTATTTAGCGACCGCCACATAATTTATATGGCGGTCGCCATATATTTATCTGGCGGCCGCTACATAATATCTGGCGGCCGACACATATTTAACTGGCGGCCGCTATATAACATCTGGCGGCCGCCACATAATTTATCTTGCGGCCGCAAAATATTTATCTGGCGGCCGCTACATAATATTTGGCGGCCGCCACATAATTTATCTGGCGACCGCTACATAATAATTTGCGGCCGCCACATACTTTATCTGGCGTCCGCCAGATAACTTTTGGCTACCTTATGCGCGCGCATGTTTTAACGTGTGATTTCAGAGGTGTATACAGTGTGAAAATCAACCAACCAAGAGATTTATTAGGACCAGACACTCCAAACCACACTTCTAGTAGATATGTTTTTGTATAGAGCAGATTAATATTAAATATAGTTTTGCATTCTGGATTTCCAAGAATAGTGTTCCAATATTTAAGAATTCTTTTTTATCATTATATTTTTCATCAATAAGCAGCGGCTGTGTCAACATCAATCATATCTTAACCCAATAAAGACACAATAACACACATTTCACAAAATAATTTATTCGGCGGCCGCCAGATATTAGGTGGCGACCGCCAGATATATAAGTGGCGGTCGCCAAATAATAAGTGGCGGCCGCCAGATATTAAATGGCGGCCGCCACTGAATATCTGGCGGTCGCCAGATAAATTTTTTTCGTACGTGGCACCAACGGGCTTCCGTACATAGAAGTTAGCACACCCATTCACAAAAAAGAACAATCCAAGGAAAAATCGTGAGCTTTCTAAGTGAAATTTGGCGCGAAAAGAGCGATTCACCCCTTTCGTAGAATATAAATGGACTGTTCCAGTAGTATAGAAATGCAAAAAATACATGGAATAATTGTTCCATGCAAAAAGATTAAAGGAAGTAAACGCTAAAGTTTTTTGCCTCAGGATTCTTTTTTCTGAAAACTGTTTCTTTTAAAATGCAGGTAAAGAATTCCAATGTAAATCAGCTTGAACAAAATCTAGCTCTCTAGGTATGATCTATTAGATTTGGATCTTGCAAATATCAATCCTTATACAGCCTGATGCCGTGACGTCAGGAAATTACTTTTAAAAATTGTCAACCAGTATAAAACCCATTTAATTAAACACATTATTGTGTGTCATTTTCATCGCCAATTAATCACAATTTGAAAATTTCGACAAATTTAACCACTCCGGAAGTGATCTGGGTCTTCGTCCGAGGTAAAAGTTTCGCATCACAACCAGGTAAAAAAATTGTTTCATTGTCCTGCAACAAATTTAGATATATTTAAACAAACAACTTCAATGATAAGAAAATGATAAGACATAATTAGTGCTTGTGGCAGTTCAACATCATTATCCCAAACAGTCTGAATCATCCGTAAAGCGGTAGCACAAGAATATTGCCCAAAATGTGTGTGATGCACTGCCAAATTCCCGGTTCTGAGTCCCATTAAAACATTTGGGCTTTTTTTAAGGAATGTCAGAGACCCCCCCCCCCTCCGCCTAATTTCATCAACTTAGACACTCTCTACCATCGGCTCATACATTCACCTCTGTCGTTGGCTCGCGTATACACAGTGTTAAACACGAGAAATAGTGCGTTTGTTTCAATTCATTACAATTCAATTTCTCTGCTTATGTCTGAGTTTTGAGATAGATATTTACTAAATCAATCCAGAACTATTGATCTGAATTGAAACAATTCTTCAAATATCACGTTTTATAAGTTATGTCAAAAATCTTGACGTGAGCCCATTGCAGAGGTGTCTGAGAGAGGAACGAACGACAACTCTGCATGGGAGATTGCAACTTAGAAAGATCCATGCAGTAGGCATCCATGAGAAAAGGATGCCTTGCAGTAATTAGAACGAGTGGTGGTCTTACTTCTGAGAAATTATTTTCTGTGAATTTTCATTTTGAGGGTATATCATGTGAAAATAAGTTTATTTTAATAAGTTGAATGACAACATTTTAGTATATGTGGTATTTTTTAACATTGTTACGATTTCTTTATATATAAAGACGGAATGCTTACGTTATCGCTCGCGGCGTAGTTATACACAGTGTAAGACAGAAAAATCTCACACTGCTGTCTCACACCGGACAAGTCAATCTAACACTGGTGATTATGCGAGAAAACAATATCATATATATTGAGAAGATATGCACGTGTGTTTGATTTGCTCTTCACTAATACTCTAAGAAAAGTCTTACTTGGATCAGCCATACTAATTTGCCTATTATTCGCATTTATTGTTATACACATAAGAAGTTTAAAATTTACAGATTAAAGTGTAAAAGTGTAAAATTTACAGATTGAAGTGTAAATTTTGCAGATTTAAATGTAGATTTTACAGATTAAAGTGTAAAATTTATAAATTAAAGTGTAGAAAAAAAATATAAAGTGTCCAAGTGGCACTAATACGCTTACGTACTTATCACATGCCTAAATATATAGGATTTTTGTATGACAAATCATATCACTAGAGTTTTTCTCATTTATGCTCAGAATGAAACAAGATGCGTTTGTGAAACACTATGCGCCCGGAGGCAACAAAGTTCGAAAAAGCATATTTCTAGCATATGTCACAGTCAAGGTCACAAAGGCATTGATTTTGGTGTCATTTGAAAGAACTTGATTAGTGAAGTATGCATATCAAAAATGAAATCTTTATCTCTCATGGTTCAAAAGTTAAGGTGAAGGTTCAAAAAAGCTATTTTTAGCACATAGGACACAGTCAAGGCCACAGGGTCATTGACCTTGGTGTCATGTGAAAGGACTTAATTAGTGAAATATACATGCCAAATAATAACTCTCTATCTTTCTTCGCTCAAAAGTTATGGCGAATGTTAAAGTTTGCCGACAAAAAAAGAAATGTTTAGCGTATAGTTCACAGTCAAGGTCACAAGGTCATTGACCATGGTGTCATTTAAAAGAGCTTTATCAGTGGTGTATGCATACCAAATATGAAGTCTCTTTCTTTTATGGTTCAAAAGTTATGGCGAAGGTTAAAGTTTGCAGAAAAAACTATTTCTAGCATATAGGTCACAGTAATGGTCACAAGGCCATTCACCTTGGTGTCATTTGAAAGAGCTTAATTAGAGGAGTATGCATACCAAATATGTCGTCTCATCCATTCATGTTTCAAAAGTTATGGCGAAGGTTAATGTTTGCAGACAAACAGACAAACAGACAGACAGACAGGACAAAAACAATATACGCCTTGGATCTTTAGATGCGGGCGCATAAAAATGTCATGTTCGGGGATGCGCCGCCCGAGCATCTCATTTGTTTCAAAATCGTTAACAATTTTAAAATTGAAATATAAACTTATGATTTATGGTTTATTCTATTGATAGAAAAAAATGATGTTTACTAAAATTGTTAAAATTCATTGATTTACCTAAAGCGGTTTTAAGTTTATGGCGCTAGTCACAAATGTTCTCATATCTCCTAGTAATATACTGAAAGGAAAAAGAAACGCAGGGTAATATAATGTTCGAAAAAATTTTGACCACTTCACCGAAAATTATGAAAATTGGTCAGAAGAGAAATTTAGTAACTGTGCAGCAAAATCAGTATTCAGAATTACTCAACCATAAAATTTATGACGTCACGTAGGGAAAACGCTAAAAAGTCCAAAACACGTGCAATTTGATAATGACGAGTTTGTCAACAAATCTTTTTGCATTATTTGATGCATATGAGGTATGCACATCGTTTTTCAATATTAAGAGACATTATGAATTTCTAGCAATCTTGGCACAGTTTACGGAAGTTCAGTGGGGTCTTGTTTTCGAATTGCCTAATTAATGAAAAAGGCAACATCGGTTTACAAAGCAATTTCTTGTAAATTTTCCCCCATTAAACTTGTTACCCGTTGTCAGAGAGGGTCTGGAATGGTTTTCAATCAACCGTGACGATGACGTTAACACGAAACAGAGCCATGTTAGGAGCGGGCTATTCGTCCTGCCATCTCTTAAATCGCCACCTTACTACCACAAAAACAGCCATTTATAGAGTAGATGATTATAATCATTACATTCATACGAAATTTGAAAGAACACAATTCCGCATTTAGGATTTTTGAGCCAGTCAACTTACAGTTGCATTCCTCTCACTGGCGCATGCGCGCGCCCTTTGACTTATTTTTTTGCGCGGTTACCCATGCCAAATATAGCCAGGGTTTGAAAGATAAACAAAGAGTTAAAATTCCATGCAAAGAAGAAATAAGACTCTGACAAATGCACAGGAAAGACATTGAAGATAATGAGAGTTTTCGATTTTCACTTTTGGGGGGGTATCGTCATTTGAGCTTCAATAACTCATGAATTATTAGACAAAATCAAATGGGAATTTGGCTATATCTTTTTGAAAGATAATTTTAAAAGTTAGATAGGAAAACTAAAACATATTTTATGAAAAACAAATTTAATTCACCTGAAAATTTTACCCTGCGTTTCTTTTTCCTTTCAGTATATATTGAATATGAGGCTTTTATTGGTCGGATACATCAAAGAAAATTGTCGAATTGTTTATTTATGTGTATATGAATTTAAAATCTTTACGTTTTTCAAAAGGACATGGAAGAGACAATGAAAAAACTTCAAGAGATAGTTGGTGCCAATCCAGTCTTTCGAATTGAAGAATTTAAAAATTGGGCAGCAACACAGAGAAGTTGTGTAATTTCTTGTAAACCTACAACGAAAGAAGAAATGTCAAGGGTAATCAAAGCTGCAGCCGAGCTGAAAGTGGGCATACGATGTGCTGGTCAGCGCCATAGTTGGGCACCAATCTCTCCTGATAACGAGCAAATTTGCATTAATGTTGACCAAATGAAGAGTGATTATGATGATGGATCTAAAATTCGAATTGCCAGTGTAAGTTAAAATTATAACCAACCCTGAATTCAAAATTATTTTGGGAAGGTATGTACATAGCTGATTTTTTAAATGGAGAATGCTTTATAATATGTTTTACGGTGTGACCGTTGGGGCGAGCGCAGTTGTACCATCAAAAGCACTTAAGATCAGCCACTTCGAACGTCAAGCCGCACGAGACATCTCGACTAGCTGTGACGTCATACGACGTCACAAAGCTCGTCGGAGCTTACGGAGACAAGCGTCTGTTTGAAACTATAGAACTAGTGCAATTTTTGTCGAAAAACATTGCAGAGTTATTTCTTGTTTCTTTGAAAGATTTCTACAAACTGAAAGTCTGATATATGCTTTGCGTTATTATGTTCCCCAAACGAAGTTGGGGAACATATTGTTTTTACTCTGTTTCTTATTATGTTCCCCAAACGAAGTTGGGGAACATATTGTTTTTACTCTGTTTCTTATTATTATTATTATTATTATTATTCTTTTTTCTTCTTATTTCTTCTCCGGTACTTTTTTGTCCGGAAGTGTTCTCAGAAACTGCTCACCAAACTAAGTTAAAACCTTTTTAGGGTTAGTAGGCATGTTGTGTAGATGTGCCGAACGAAGGTCATTTTGCGCGCATTCGCATGCACGTGCGGGCGCGTGCAATGAGTAAAATGACTGATATATTTAATATGGTTGTAACTTTTATATTTTTTGATAAAATGTTTTGAAACTCATTATATAAAGATATATAAGCTGTGTAGATAAGATGACATGGTCAAATTTGCATGAACTCACGCGCATGCACGTGCGCTTTGCTCTGATTGGCTGAAACAGAAATCTTAATATCTTTTTTGTTTTATGATGAAATGCTTTGAAATTTATAACATAGACATGCATTAGGATGTACTACAATATGATATATAAAATTTTTCATGAAATCACGTGCATGCACGTGCGCTGCAATCTGATTGGCTGAAACTTTAAATGAGTATAACTCCCTTGGTTTTCAACCAAACAGCATGGGATTTAGAACATAGATAGACATGAAGGACTCCTATAGGATGGTATGGTCACCATTCACATGCATGCACGTGTGTGCACGTGCGCTCTGCTCTGATTGGCTGAAACAAAAATCTCAATATCTTTTCTGTTTTTTTTTTACAAAATGCTTTGAAATTTAAAACATAGGCATACTTTAAGATGTCCTACAATATGATATATAATAATTGTCATGAAAACATGTGCATGCACGTGCGCTGAAATTTGATTGGCTTAAACTTTAAATGGCTATAACTCCCTTGTTTTTCAACCAAACAGGATGGGATTAAGAACATAGACATACATAATGGACACCTACAAGAAGGTAAGGTCATCCATCATGCACGTGCGTGCACGTGCAAATGAGTAAAATAGTGTAGACAAGATGATATCGTCATTACGCTCATGCAGTCACATGCGCACGCCCGCATTGCCTGGTATACTTTTGGGAAAACGTTGTTTACGTCTTAAATGCATAGATTTTGCCTTCTTTAATGAAACTTACAGGGAATATGGCACGAAAAGGGACTTGGGGAGCGTTTGGGGAACATCTGTAACGGTTCCCGTTACAATTAGCACTAGTTATTATTATTATTTTTCTTCTTCTTCCTGGGTACTTTTTTGTCCGGGAGTGATCTTGTAAACTATACATCCGACTTAGGTAAAACCTTTTTAGGGTCAGTAGGCATGTTATGTAGATTTGCGGAACGAAGGTCATTTTGCGCGCACGTGCTTGCAAGAGCGTGCACGTGCAATGCGTGAAATGACCAATATAATAGATATAGCCGTAGCTTTTCTATTTTTGGATGAAATGCTTTGAAACTCATAATGTGATGATATATTAGTAGCATAAACAATATGTCATGGTCAAAATAGCAAGATCTCACGTGCGCTTTGCTCTGATTGGCTGAAACTAAAGTCTCAATATCTTTCTTGTTTTTTGACGAAATCCTTTGAAATTTTGAACATAGCCATGCATTAGGATATCCTACAACTTGATATATAGCAATTATCATGAAAACACGTGCATGCACGTGCGCTGCAATCTGATTGGCTTAAACTTTGAATCGCTATATCTCCCTTGGTTTTCAACCAAACAGGATGGGATTTGGAACATAGATAGATATAATATACTTCTACAAGAAGGTATGGTCACCATGCATATGTATACACGTGCGTGTACGTGCGCTGCAATCTGATTGGCTGAAACTTTAAACAGCTATAACTCCCTTGGTTTTTAACCAAACGGGGTGGGATTTAGAACATAGATAGATGTAATGGACTTCTACAAGAAGGTATGGTCACCATGCTCATGTATGCACGTGCGTGCACGTGAAATGAGTAAAATTAAAAATACACTTAAATTAGAGTATTTTTTAATAATTTTGGATTAAATACTTTAATATTTAGTGTATTAAAATATATAGATTGTGTAGACAAGATGATATGGTCATTACGCACATGCATTCACATGCGCACGCGTGCAATGTTAAAATTTGAATGAACTTGGTACACTTCTGGGTAAACGTTGTTAAAATCTCAAATGCATAGAGTTTGTCTTATTTAATGAAGCTTACAGGGAATATGGCACCAAAAGGGAGTTGGGGAGCGTTTGGGGAACATCTGTAACGGTCCCCGTTACAATTAGCACTAGTTATTTATTTATTTATTCGGCAATATTCGCGCAAAGGACATTGGGTAGTTCAGGAATTCTGGGAATGTTGCACAGAGAAATTTGGCTGACGTATGTACAGATTTCAATCCGAATTTCCTCTGTTCTTACACGTTAGTCTATTGAGCTCGCTTCGCGAGCGTCGCTTCGCGACGCTCGCTGCGCTCGCTATTAGTCTATTGAGCTCGCTTCGCGAGCGTCGCTTCGCGACGCTCGCTGCGCTCGCTATAAATACTTGGTTATTTTCATTCCTAATGAAACATACAAAATAAATTTACACTAATGGAAAGTCGGCAAAAACCAGAATGAGGGAGGATTGCACATACTGGTCGTGGTTTGCAATGACAAATATATGACAAGAATTATAGATATGGGTTACCTCCTATTTAAGATATTCGACTTTTAGTTTATTTAATTCGATCTACACTGCACTCTGATGATCTAATATGTTCTACGGTGCGACCGTTGGGGCGAGCGCAGTTTATATTTACTTTCGAAAACATTTACACAACTTTAACTTGCACTGCCTATCCTCAGTTCATCAAAAAAGAAGAAAAATCACTTCCAAGGCATCGGGATCGAGATTCCAAACTTTTCGGAAGTTTCCGACAAAATCGGAAATACCCGAGCCGTTAAGTGACGAAAGTATGACGTCAAATAAAAAGTCCTTTTGAGTTAGAACGCAAACGATAGTTTTGTGGCATGGAGGTTGCATTAAATCGTTGTTTGTAATTTTTTTCAAGTAAGTTGTTGCTATGTTTTAGCCACCATGTTGCTATGCTTCGCAAAGGACTATTGGGATTGAAGAATGTTTTCACGTGGACTCATAAAAATTTCTTGGATCAATGTGCAGATTTCAACCCGAATTTCCTCCGTTCGTACACGTTTGTCTATTGAGCTCGCTACGCGAGCGGCGCTTCGCGCCGCCTCGCTGCGCTCGCTATTAAAAAAACTCCACTTATTATAAAACTGGTGTATAGTTAGTTCTTCATGTCCGTAGTAAATTAAATACCGTCACCAGTCTTGCGTCGTCACTAGACAAATAGTCTACACACATGAGATCAGAAATCATTACCATTTCGTCATTTAAGGTCAGACGACACGTTCCTCAAATTTATGTTTGTTATCTCTTGGTATTATACAAATAATTATTCATATTTGTCATTTTCTTCTGATTTCACATTGTTTTCAAAATGTTTTTAAATATTAGTTCACCAAAATTTGTTATATAGGCCATTCAAAAGATTACCCATAAGGGTTATATAAGAAATATGACCCTGTGATATCTTGTCCAAATGCTTTGTAAGGTACCCTAATTTTTTAATTGTGAAGAAACTTGTTTAATACCTATACTTCAATGAGAAATTCTTAGGAAAAATTATATATTTTTGACCGGTCGGCAGGGGATGCTCACTCCTCCATGGCACCCGATCCCATCTCTGATGTTTCGGGGGTCCGTGTTTGCTCTGCTCTTATATTGTATTGTTTTATGGACTTTGAGATTGAATACTGTTCGTTATCTCCATATCCTTCTTTAAGGAACGTGTCGTCTGACCTTAAAAAAGGAAGGAAAAAACATACACTTCATTATTAACATTATCTATTAGAAGAGAGTGTATGATATATAATTAACGATCAATAATTATGAAAGTAAAAAACTGGTAAAAAAATTTGTAAATTGATATATATTTTTGTGAGAAAGACCGAGGATGCAGGTAGCCTAGGATAATAAACACTTCTTACACTTCTTGGGGGAAAAATTTTTCTTAAAATTATTTAAAGATAATTTTGTTTTCTACTACGTATTAAGAAGGGTTATCAAAAAATTCGTAGACTGAGGATAAAAATTAGTTCTTTGATTATATACATGTTGTCTGTGCTTTAAAAATTTATAAGGGACATAAAACAACAACAACAACAACAACAAAAGAAAAGTTGAAAATTGAAGCTGGCTACGTTTTTATTTGCCAAATTATTATAAAATAACACGGCATTATATGATCACCTGGCGATGTCGCCGTTTAGTTTTATGACGACAGACGTTATACAACGTCATTGTTTTTCAATCTCTGCTTCCTCTAGCTCATACACTTATTTGGATGAGATTCCCTGCAGCTGAGTAAGGAACAACGGCTTTCAATGCATATAATATTGCAAATAGATTTACATTTGGAGAGATTATCGCTTGATTGTGCCAGTATATTTTGCTTTTTTGAGTTCAATATCTAGAACACATGATCAACGTCATTTTTTGATTTGAGATTGATTTTTCACACCTTGACTACAAATCGACATTAACTGC